AAGATGTTGAGGTTAAAATACATAGATTTTAAAATGTTGGACATCTATTTGTATCTTGACTCAGCAGCATTCAGTGACTTTATTTCAGCTATGAATGTAGTAAATTTAAAGACAGTGAAATGCTGCACCATTGCTCACTCAGAAATATTAACATAATCCCCAATATTAGGCTATAGGAATTATGTTCCATCAGTGCGACCAATGACATCAGCTATAGAGATCATTAGTCATTGATACTACTTGTCTAAAGCTTCATACCGATTTTTAAAATTTAAATAATTAGACCTACACATTATGTGCAATAAACATTTGGGAGCTGCTGTAACAGACTGACAGTCTGATCCTTGTGCACAGTGTTATAAAAAATAATAAATATAAAAAGGACAGAGGTTTGATTCTGAGCTGAGGGTGAATTCTCACTGTGTAATATTTGAATGTTAAGACAAAAACCGATGTCCAAAGAAATGATTGATGTGCATAAATTCAGTAACTTAAGACAGTCCTGAGTAACAAACTAATATCCAGCAGGATTTAGACTGTGACGGACGTTAAATCTCCGCTAAGTAACGCGCTTCGATACAAGCTTTGACACGGACTGAATGAATGAGGAAATGAAACAGCGTGGAAGAGGGAGGAGACAGAGAAAAACTCAGGGTTTATTGAAGAAAACCTGCCAGCGAGCAGGTTAGGTTCACAGACTCAGTTGCCATGGTGATTGACTCAGAGTTTGATTTACCTCTCTTTCTGGAACTGAAAACCCAGAGTTTCCCTCATTTCAGGGTTAACATACTCAGAGTTTTCACTGAACCCGCTTTCTGGAATAACCCTCTGGTGGCGCTATTTCTCCAGAAAGGTGCCACTGCAGAACAGGGCGCAACAAGATGATGTAATTTAAATACAGAGCATCAGTCAAACCTCAAACTAAGAAAAATACCGTGCGATCCAATACACATACTACCATACTATATAGTATGCAGGAAAAAGATGTAGTATGTCAAATATACCGGGATGTTCTACCACAGCCGGTCTGATTTTGCTGCAAGCAAGCCAGCATGTTTTTCTGGCAATTCTGACCCACAATCCTCTGCGCAGCAAATGATACATCACATCGACTGAGCCGCAAAACAGATGACGGCTTGACAACTGATTGTAGTATGTCCCGATTGAGTGCATACTGCATGGACAGTACGTACTTTTTAAGGGTGGCTGCAGTACATACTAAAAGTAAAAAGAAAAAGTATGCGATTCGATCAAGTAGTCTACTGATTATTCCATTGATTAACTGGATAAGAATGACTTTTGCTTTATTATAGAGCAATATTAAATAAACAAAAAAGGCAATTAGACAAGTCTCTTGTGTGTGTTTGTGTGAGACTATCATGACAATAGCAAGCTGCCTCACTCCCCGCCACTTAGAGACCACTTTGTCTGGATGAGGGCAGACACCAGCTTCAGAGACCCCAGAAACCCCAGCGCCGGGGGCCTTCATCCCAACTAGCAATCATATTGTTTTAGGGAAAATGCTAACGTTAATGTTAACAATGGGTCTGCTCTGTGGACTGGAGGCTTTCTACTGAGATGCTGAAACAGTGACTTCATGCTTCTGTGGTTGTTCGGTTGCAATAACCATCAAAGAAAACATTGCAGTTTCATGATATCACCACGTTACAGAATTATAACTATTAGAAGTCAAAATGTCCCTTGAAGGAATTAAAAAACAGATGGTTGTTTTTAGTTGAACAAACATTCTATGACTATAACTGAAACAATTTTCTCAAAATAGAAATCCACATAAAAAGTCTCCCTTTGGAAAATACAATAAAGTTGAGATTCTCCGTCCAGTTGCATTTTTTTTTTCTTTTCTCAGCATCATAGATAAACAAATGTACACGGTATGATGACAGTCAATTTTAATATCATGGCATAGTCTCTATATACAGACTCTACATTCAGTGAATGTAGAGTCTGTAGGCAAACCCCGGAGATCTTGCCTCCAGAAGAAGAGCGGAAGAGCCCTGGTTTCCGGTTGTAGGCTGTTTGTAGTCCGCGTGATATTGACCAATCACGTTTTAGCAGGCTGCAGTTGTTGCCAGGTTTAACAGTCCGTGCGGTGAACTAACGAGGCGGAACATAATTGGCGTCACTGCAAACTCTGAATCAATCGCAATGGTTCAGCATATTTACTTATATATAAACGGAAGTCGGAAATGGAAAATTGCCTCATCCGCCCAAATCAAACCGGAATGCCAAAAAATCGGGGGTCTGCCCCCAGAGGCTGTATCGCTGTTTGCCGGAAGTCAGACGCCAAATACAGCCGATGGGTTCCGAGAATGATCATGGCATAACTTAAAATTGATATACCACTGCAACCCTATATAATAGACTAGTTCAGTTTTACAGTCACACTCTGTAAAGAGTTTTTGGTCTGTGTCAGTTTAAAATGACACAAAACTTTGGACACCCTCTGTCATTTTCTCTGGCTTTCCTGTACCATCAAATCACGACACCTGTCCCCAGCCTAATCACACTGTGTGACAGTAATAATAATCCGTGCAAAACACTGTGCACTGTATGTAGTTATATGGATTACACTTTTATTTTTACTAGTTACGAGTTTCTCAAACTTGGTGAGGAACCATTTCAACCCTACACGCTGGACACTGGAAAAAAAGAGTTTCAAATGTGACGGCCCCAGGGCCTCCACTAGGGTTTGGTGTTGGTGTTGTGTTATGTTCTTTTGTTTCAGAGTGCTTGTGGCTTGATTGGTCGTGATTGGAGGCAGCTGGCCACTGTCTCTGGCCCTTTAAAACCCCCCTCCTGGGAACTTGGTGTCTCTTCTTTTTCCCCATGGCACCATGCTGCGTTGACTGCATTTACTTGAGTTTTTGTATAGTTTAGTTTGCACTTGGTTATATTGTTTATTCTTGAATTTTTGTTAAAATAAATTACTTATTTTTATGTAACTCCCCATGTGTTTCCTTATTTGTGATGGTCTTAGAGCCGGACCATAACAAAAACAACTCATATTAGCTACGTGCTCTTGGAGGAGTTTTGCTAACAACAATTTGTGCATACATGAGTGTTAAAGGTCATCCAGAGACGACAAAGAGAGCTTGCAGTGGCCAAGAAATGACGATACATCTTGACTGTACGTCATCATTTATTTGCTAAATCTGTTTCTTTTGCACTTTGTCACATTTTCCTTTTAGCGTTTCACCAACTTTTCCTCTATCTTCCAACATTATATCAACTTCTCCACCTCCAAAATGTAAAAATAAAAAAAAATTAAAAAAAGTTGATATTTTGGTGAGTTTTTGGCATTTCCAAATTGCAAATGAACATAAAACAGGTGAATGGAAACGCATCAAGACACAGACTGAAAGAGAGGAGAAGTGGAGACATGATACAAAACATTCTTTGATCATGAAGCCTAATGTTCCTCTACAATTCTCTGGTTCCTCAGTGAAGCATATGAACCACACAGCACACTGGAGTCTCTGTTAACAGTGACAAACTGAGTGACGGCTGAGTCATATGAGTCAGGTTGACTGTGCATTGGCAGGTCCACATTATACAGTACACACTTGTCTCCAGTGTGAAAAGGCTCACTCACTCTTCCTCAAGTTTGCTGCATGTAAAACTGAAATTGATGTAAAATGTTGTTGGCTATTCAAATTAATGCAAAAACCACAAATGTCACCCAGCATTTAGTATGATGTTATTACAAGTTTCTCTCAGTAGCATCCCCGACTTTGACTGGCTTCAAGAGTCCTGGGATGAGTCAAATGTTTGTGAAAGCATCTATTGTCTTTGTTATAGTCCTTGTTATACCAAACAGCAGCAAAAGACTATTTTTGAGTGCAGTGACTTTTTTATTTCTGGAGGAGACTGAATTTTGTTGTTTTCAAAATTTACACTCTGTAATTTTGTAATAAAATAAATTCTTACAAAAGATCTCCTCAGCTTGCTACTGACATTTGAGTATCAATCATCCATTCATTCTTTCCTCATCACCGACTGCTTCTCTCACAGGAAATACTACCATTGTTAAGAGATATTCAAAAGGTTTAATGTTGAGACATCTCAGTTGTTTCACTACGACACGGTTTACTTTTCAGTTCTTGATGCCCAAATTAAAGGGAGTCATTGTCACAGCACGGTGTATCCAAACCGCATATACTATTCTCTAATTTGTTCAAACACCTTAAAGCAATTATTTTTGACAGCCCATATGGTGAAGAGGACGGGGAAGAGCAGCTTGACAGGGAACATCCCAAAGTAGTAAGCGACATAAATTTTTAAAGCAAAGAAAGTGGCGTATTGGAATAATTCGTCTTGTGTCGTCATGTCTCTGTGACAGAAGTTATTGTAAAGCATATTTCCCCACTGGACAGAGCGAACAAAAGTTGTCCCACTGGTTAGAGGGGTCTAATCATAGACAGGCCTGGTGCTCATACAGCCTGATCCCTCACGGCTTTTCTGCACTTTTAATGTCCTACATTAAATCCCCACCAGCTGCTCTGTACCTGACCCTGTGCTCTGACCTCCCTGTGAGGACAGCAGGTGAAAGGACTGTCTTCCCTCTCAATGCTTTTGTAAAATAAAACAGAAAGCATTAGCAATCATATTGCTAATAAACGATTTAGCTGATTAATTGTTTAGAAGATGCTAAAATTCACCGGCAACAGCCTCAGTTCTGGTTTCCAAATGTGGATATTCACTAGTTTTCCTCTGGACTTTCAGTCAGACAAAGTAAGACATCTAGAGATGTCATCCTGGACTCTGTAGAAACTATGATGGACATGTTTCGCTGTTTTCCTGACTCATATTTTGATATACCATACATGTCCTTGGCATCAAAACTGTGGGGAGTAGTGTGCTGAGAGGCCTCAGAAAAGGAAGGCTAAATATGGAAGAGAGCTATTGTGTGCATTTCACTGAAAGCAAGAAGCGAGACAGTGTGTGTGAGACAGCAAGTTAAAGATAGATTGAAGCAATACCTTGAGTCCTCCACACTCTGCTGCTGATCCCTGGTCCACTCCAGTGATGTAAATACCTAGAGCATATTCTGCTCCGCCCCGGATCATGAGACCCAGAGACCGGCCGTCATCCAACACCAAGTTGACCTATTAAAGACAGACAGAGGAATAGATAACGCCGGCAGAAGCAAGGGTTAAATATCTAAAAATGGTGTGAACCAGACACTTTTGAAATATCAACATTTTAAATGGCATTTTGCAGCCTCAGCTGCGTAGCTTGACAGGTTGCCAGACTCGCCCGTGGTGTCGGGCTGTTCTCACTGAAATGGAGACGTGAAACACAATGCATAGGAGGAACGACAGCTCTGTTCTGAGCCGAGATTTGCCGGCAGAAATACAAAGAGTTTCAGGAGCGATTGTGGTGAGTCAGAGAGATTAATAAGGAGGCTGAATCTGTTCTGATTGGAAGAATGACTGTTTGAATTCGTTAATCAGTTTGTTTACAAGGCTCATTCATGTCAGTCAGCCCTGATGAGCAGAGAGGACAACATCTGACACTGTTTGAATTCAAATAACCAACCAACCATAATATACGTAATCCTCCATCCGGAAATATTGGACAATGACAAGATACGCATGCTGCTGCAGGGAGCCGACGATACCTACAGGATATACATGACTGTGCAAAATGACTCTCTGCTTTTGTATAAATGTCTGTTTAACAACTTATTTAATCTTTAATCTGTATTTGAAAGAAGAAAGCTCTCTTTAGTGCAAGATTAGTCTCCTGGTTTCATGTTTAACCTAATTAAACAACCCTCTTAATTTAAATGAAATTATTATTACGGTAAATTATACAGATACTAGAGCTGCAGCAATTAATTCATTAGTTGTCAGCTATTAAATTAATACCAGCTTATTTGCTAATCGTATAATTGGTTAGACAGAAAAGAAAGTCAGAATTCTCTGATTCCAGCTTCTTAAAAATGTGAATATTGCCTGGTTTCTTCACTCCTTTGTGACAGTAAACTGAATATCTGTGGGATGTTGATTAAACATTAGACATTTGAGGATGTAATCTCCGGCTTTGAGAAGTACTGATCAACATTTTCCCCATTTTCTGACAGTTTATAAACCAAACAATTTGATCAATCTTACTATATAATGACGAAAACTGTCTGTGGGTGTGTGTGGGTGCGTCTGTTCCACGTTTTTCTCCTCACTGGCTTGGTCAATCCATGTGAAATTTGGCACAGTGGTAGAGGGTCATGGGAGGATGCGAATGAAGCAATATTACATCAATTGGGCAAACGGGGGCGCTATAGCAACTGACTGAAATTGCAAACTTTGAATGGGCATATCTCATGCCCTGTATGTCGTAGAGACATGAAACTTTGCACAGAGATGCCTCTCCTCATGAGGAACACATTTGCCTCAAGAACCCATAACTTCCAATTATATAGATTTTCCACCATTTTGAATTTTTTTGAAAAACACTTAAAATCGATTTCTTCCTAGGAAGTTTGACCGATCTGCATGAAACTGGGTGAACATAATCTAGGGACCAATATCTAAAGTTCTCTCTTGGCAAAAGTTGGAAAACTTACTAAAACTGAGCTTCTATAAGGCAATGAATATTGCGGAGGGCATGGCTCATCACATAATGGTGTATAACATCTCAAGGGTTTCACCCATCACCAAGCAACTTTGTAGGCATATGATCACACATAATCTGAGGGGACCCCTCCATTATTGACCCAATCAAACAAAATGAGGGCGCTAGAGAGCTAATTTCTTATCTAGGCCTAACTGCCATATGGATTTTTACTAAACTTGGTAGATATGTAGAACAGGACGCCTCAAGGTGACTGGAGAAATTTAACTCTAATTGGCAACTGGGTGGCGCTATAACAACAGAAAAATGCTTAAAAATGGCTAAAATGTGACCGAGTGCTGTGGCTCTCCCTGTGGACCAATGTTTGGTTTTTGTTTTGTTTGTTTTTTGTTTGTTTGTTGTTGTTTTTTTTCAATTTTTTTTGGTATGACTAAGTCATGGTATGGTATGCTGTACTCAATGGGTTTGGACTAGTTTATATTATAATTAACAGATTTATCAACAGTGAAAAAATAGCTTCAGCCCTTGTAGACACATGTAGACAAGGAATTAAAGTTGTTTTTGAGTAAAAAAAGATCAGTGCTAGCACTTGTGTATTGTTTTAATCAATAAATTAAGTCAGCTTCAGGTTTGCATCTGAAAAGTTAAACACTCGTGTTATAGTTAAAACCATCACTGCAACTTTAATCCCTTAACCCTACGTGGACTCAGTTTCTTGAGATGCTATACTGCAGCTTACATTCAGAACAAAGCTGGAAGATCATTGTAAACACTGCAGTGTGTTGCCTTAAAAGAAGTTCAGCAGGGTATGTCGCACACTTCTACATCCAAAATGTTTCCCCGCTCTGGAGGACACACAGCTTTGGGTTGAGCACTGAGAGGCTCTTCTTCCAAGGATGGTGAGAGACCCTTTATTCTATTCCAATATCTGTTTTGGCAGTGCTCGTGCACCTGAACAAAAACAGTAAGAAGTTAGTTGCTGATATCTATTGGCAGTATCAGCTTTTGGCTGCCGAAACTGAAAATATGGTTGCCTTCTCTTTTGAGTAATTAAAATTATGCAGATATATGTCAGCTTAAAAATGAAAATATGATATAAAAGAATAAGTTTTATTACAGTAACCAAACAAAATTACTTGTAGTTTGTGTTTTATCTGAAACTTGACTCTTACGTGTTACCAGTTTACTAATGAACTTGGTATGTCACTTATCGAGGTGAATATTGTACTATGCAGTATAATTTTTCACCCACTTTGTCTCCTCAGACTTTACAAATTTCCTTTTTTTTCTTTTCTTTTCTTTTTTAAACATGCAAGCTTATTTGGTTCTTTGTCAGTTGAATCAATTTGCACATTTGTGATGGCAACCAGTGGTGGCTGCTGGTCTTTCAAACAGGGGAAGCTCACTTTAAGTTCACATCAGGAAATCTGTCATATTGTAGTGAGGCAGTGACTTATGAAAGGAACATTTAATTGAAGCCGTTTTTCAACCACACTCATGCCATAGAACCACAGCAAAACACACCTCAAAGATTTTCAGATGGGTTTAAACACCTGAACTGTACTGTACAAACAGTGAAAATGAGCAATATCGCTTATGGAGATAAGGAACTCCGAACGGCACTCTGTCAGAAGACTCCACTCTCAAATATGCACATGGGACTGAGCTCGAAATGCAACGATGCCGGTGTGTATTTCCAAAGCGCTGTCAGTCACAAAGGGGTTCCTCCAATCATCATGCATACACCGAGCGTCCTCTCCCGCCTACCGCTCCATTAGGTCCCATGGAAGCTGAGCCTCCCTGGAAGTGACGATTTTGTCGCATTTATCCAATGACCATGTTGCTTTGCTGCATGAAAAAAAAACCTGCTCAGCACTGTCTCATAGGAATGCTTGGAGGCTCCACATCCACCGTGTTGACACGAGAATGTATGACAGGGAGGTCATGTTTGAAAACTGGTGATAAACAGCTGACGTTTGAACATCATAGTCATGATGTTAAATGCATCCTAGCGCACGTTTAATGCAATGTAAATTATTATTTCAATTTAAATTCAATAGTGCACATTTGACCATTTCTTCTATGAAATTTTAGGGGAAGCTCAGCCTCCCTTGTTGTCTCAGAGCAATTGCCCCTAGTGTTGACCCATTAGTAAATCAGCTTAATTTGCTTTGTCATCATCTCTTAAACAGATACTTCAGCACATGCAAGTAAACGCACCAACACACATGCATAACTATCACATGCAGTATTGTCTGGTTCTGATTCTGGCTGTAACAGCAATATTTAAATATCATTATCATTGCAACAAGTATCAAAAATATGTTAAAAAGTTGATGCCACTGATGAGTGCCAAAGGCCAAGAATTAATCAATGATGGTTGCAAATGGCAACCTGGTTACCATCACAGTCGAGCCCTGAGTGAACCCAAACAGGTATATGACAACGTCCACTCCTACTACTTCCTGTTCTGCACAAATTAGACATTACTTTTCAAAGTAAAATGTGATGCATTTCACAATAGAGTGAAGTGACACATCTCACTGACAGTAAGTCTGATGAGCAGAAGGCAGAACTAGAGAGAACTGTATTTATATATACATATACATACATACATACATACATACATACATACATATATATACAGTACAGGCCAAAAGTTTGGACACACCTTCTCATTCAATGCGTTTTCTTTATTTTCATGACTATTTACATTGTAGATTCTCACTGAAGGCATCAAAACTATGAATGAACACATGTGGAGTTATGTACTTAACAAAAAAAGGTGAAATAACTGAAAACATGTTTTATATTCTAGTTTCTTCAAAATAGCCACCCTTTGCTCTGATTACTGCTTTGCACACTCTTGGCATTCTCTCCATGAGCTTCAAGAGGTAGTCACCTGAAATGGTTT